ACTATTTTGCTCTATGCAAAATTTTTGACTCTTTACTTTTTTGCAATTCAGTAATAATATCGTGATTTTTAACTAAATGCTTCATATTTGATAAAATACAACCATTTCAGTTCGCTCGTTTCAATTATTAAATACTTTTGTCCAGGATCAGTGTCCTTTTTTAACGCAGAGTGCAATGCTAATTTAGGACAGCTCGGAATATCTGATTAGATAAGCTTTTTCCGTATGGTAAGATTAACTGAAATGGGGAAACAGGAGAAATATAGTGTTTAGGTTATAGTGGTGCTCAAACTGGAAAGCAACAACATCTGTAGAAGGACACAGAACTTGGACCACGCAAGGTATATATATATATATATAACTTCACATGCACGAACTAAGTATACTTTAAATTAAGATTAACTTCAGTCGGATTCACGGATTAATTAAAAGGGTTCTAATAGTAAAGCAGAATCACTCAGTAACTAATATATACTGAAAATGAATAATTGCGCCAAACTGGCGGCAATTGACCCCAAACAAAAAATTGACCGCGTAAAAAAATATGGTTATTCTAATCGGAAACGGTGTATCTGAGCGGTGTAGCAGACTGAATAGATGTGTAGATCTAGGATAGTAAGGCAATCAAATAATAAAATTCCTTGATGAGCTAATTGCAGCGTGGCAACTGCAACGGAATCAATGTGGCTTCTAGATTGACTAAATAAGGAATAGTGTATGTTGTGCAATAGAATAACAGTTTATATTTGACTATGTAAAGCGCGAATCCATTTTTTTCGCTGGTGGTGTCTATCCGATCATCGGGTCCTTTTTAAAATCGCCTTTTCGGTTTATTAGCGGAATATTTTCTATACTTTTTGTGGAGAAGTTATAGGAACATGCATAAATTTAATTTTCGTACAGTCTTTTTGCACAAATTCTTAACGAGATGTCCAATATCTACATGGAATTCTATGTAAGTGGGTATTTTTAGGCATTAGCCGAATTCGACCACCTTAAGGAAGGTATTTGGGTGGTACAGGCAGATTAATCAACCAAACTTTGACACCCAGTTTTAGTCCTAACTCACGAGCCTCGCCCCATGCAGCAGTTAATGCAATCTGATAAATTCACTTAAACTAGCGAAAATTACAGGTAGTACAGGCTTTTCGGTAGTATCAACCTACCAAGGGGATTCGGCCAACTCTACATTTGTCTCACTTGTGATATGTTGGCTCTTCTTACAACTGGACTACAGAGCTTTCTTAATAGTGATTGATTGATTCTGTGTTCGGGACACATACAGGGTTGGCCGTAGACATTGCGCTTAGTAGAGTCGACGAACCTATTGATATACCATTTCTGGGACGTCTCCGGTGCTTGGAAGTTTATTTTTCCCTTTTTTTTTTCATTAAGAATTATTTATACCAGATATTTCAAATATAAGTTGACCTTGTTCCCGGTACGTCACCAAGTAGTTACACACACATATATATTTATTCTACGAAAAGTTTTTGGTAGTGGGGTTTGTCACAGCAATAACGACCTGTTAGTGTTGTCTGATTGAGTCTGATTTAGTCTGGATCGTCATCGTTTTATGCTTAATATGTCTGCGTGGAAGCCGAAATTCTTTTCCCCGTGAAGTATTCTTTTTACTCATAGAGCGCAATGGTTGATCGTAAACCGACGACACCACCTTCAGCTTCATTTTAAGATTTGTGACGCTTGTAAAAAAAAACTGCAACATTCCATGCACGCGTGGGGTCCGTTGTCGTGCACTTGGCGATCCAGGAATACCAGAAAAACAGGTTCTACCATGTAAACATACTTCTTTGGATTAACGAGCGCCTACAACCCCGGTGGCCCGCCTATGACACTGACTTCTACAGATTAGCGCTCAAACACATAAAACGGGCCGTTCCACACAGCGATATCCGTGCATGCAAGATTAATTAACATTAACATGCATGAAGATATTCTTTAGGTCTTATGCTAACCACTCACTTTACGGCGATGCTTATCCAAGCAGAAACGGCGTTCGCTACAAATGTATGTCTCTGCCGGCTACAAAAAAAAAATTACCACAAGACGAATTACCCAACTGCCTCAGAACGGGTTGTATCATACCACGCTTTCCCTCCAAAAATGTTTGGCTTCGACCTTAACGTTAACATACAGCTCTTGGTTAAACGTACGTCGTTAAGTACGTCAACAAGCATACGCTCCAAGGAAGTAACGAAATCATGTATAAAGTGGACCAGGTCGAGTAATACGGCAATGGGCTATACATTGACCCTTATCAGGCAACCGCCTAAATTTTTTGTTTCTTCATCGACGATCATCAACCACGTATTAAACCCCTACATCTACACCTACCTGAGATAAAGAACCCAGTATGCGACGAGTTACACACACTGTGTGACCAACAAGACTAGTATCACTGATGTCTCCTTGTCAGCACGGCGAATTCGCCGAACTCTCTACTTTATGCAGGCATATTCAGGTTCTACACCTAGACAGATCACACGTAACTGGTAAATAGAAAAGGTCTCACCGTCCACAGAAATAGTAAGCAAGCGTTCTCAACCACCTTTATGACGCACCATCTGTGACTTTTTCTGTGGGCTCTGCTCACATTGATCTAGCTTTAAAGCAGTATGATCTTCGCTGACGCACTTGGATGTATTTTTTAAAACAACTTAGTCCTGGCACGAATACGCCCAAATGAGGAAATAATTCTAGCCGTTCCATCATCCAGCATTGCAGTAACATTAGATCCTGCCAGCCCACTCTCGATTATAAACTTCGATGCCGTCTCACGAGGGCTCTGTGCAAAGACCGGTGACCTGCTTTGTTCATTGGCGTTTATTGTTCAAAATGAGAGCTGCATGATTAAACGAGAGACCTTGTTCGTTTCATGACATATGCTTCACTGACGCCCCTTTCATGTTAACTTCGTAATCAGGCGATAGCAATTAACCGTTCTGCAGTAAATTACAGATGGCGAAAGTAAGGATGCCTATATCAGCTAATTGCGCCTATGGAATTAACCGCCATGCGGTTCGAATCAGACTTCCTGCTCTGAATTAATGAGGACAAATATCCCAAAAATGCTGCCAATAGTATGCTGTCCGAGAGGACTGCCACGATTCAGTTGTAGACTGCGTAGGTTTCATTTACTTATGTATTCCATTTGGGAAACTTATTTTTCAATATGTATATATTATTCTACATTAATCAAATGGTCAGGGATATTGAAGCCGCATGCACCGTTAATTCTCCCGTACATTCATTAAATACCGCGTATTGAATCGTGTCACTATCGTTTCGACTTATTCGACCTTCCACCTCATATTCTGCGCTTAAAAAAGGGTTTCACTTATAACTTTTTTCTACCCTTTTTATTCTAAACCCCATAAGCTCCGCAGGCTGCCCGTTTACGATTTAAAGCCTAACTCCATTGCCGCAAAAATTGCCGTTGGCATATTTCAGGACCAAATCGTGCAGCTGCTAAGAACTACGCTTTCACTCTCTGATGTCACGAGCATTCCCTGAAGTCAAAAACAATTTCTTATACAGTGATGCTTCTATATGATAATTTACAATGCCCAAGGCTAAACGCGAGACGATGCAGTATCTCGCTTGCGGAACGGATCTTCAATCACGGTCAACTGAACGTTGCCCTGAACCGTGTTTTTAGGTCTCTGACTATACAAAGCTATTCGTAACTGGTAACTGCGACATTCAAAACGCTCCCATACGAATGACCTAACCTATGTTTCTCTACAGCGTGCACTAGGCCATCTCTTGCCAACAAATTACACAAAGAGCACGGATTACATCAACGACAGAGACCAACCTGTCGAAATCGTATATTTTTTTGGAAAAAACCAGCAGGTCGCGAATGCACTTAACCGGTATTCCCTGAAATGCGCAGACGGTAGGGGTTGGCTAGATCTATCAAATTCATATTGCTCCTTAAAGACTTAGATGATGTACCACTAGACCATTTCCGATCCAAAAAGGCTCTGGATAAGGGCTCCAGGCTCAAAACTGTAGAGAAAACAAGTTGTCCTTTGGAACGAAAAAATGCTCAGCCCGAAAAACTTATCAATACCTGGTACTAGAACTGTTTGACAATGGACATAGTGGTATTTACGAGCGAATGTGGTCCTCCGGTATCGACAGACTGCTTAAAATACTAGCAGTATCATGCCAAATCTGTCGACAAAATTAGCAAGCAAATAACCAAGGTTGTCTCATGCTCGGGCACGACCTTTGCATCGTTCGATTTGGTGGAGCGTAGCCTGCATGCGATAAAATATCTGCTTAAAGATCAAATCGAGTTATTAGCAGATAACTTCACAGAACAAAATGAATTCAGAGAATGTTCACTGCAGCACAAAGCCTCACCGAATGGACACAATAGTTGGGCCACATTTGAGCCACTATTCAGACGCTAGGACAAGGAAAATACAGAGGTGAATCGCTATCTACGCAACGATAAGCTTCAAGGCGAAGTCCGACTATATGATACACTAAGAAAGAACTCTTTAGTAATCGTCACGGTGGAGAACGACCGAAGTATCTAGAAGCTGAGAACCGTATCGAGCATGATACGAATAGCACAGCTCCTAGAGAAGTTCGCAGGAAAAGATCTTTTATTATTGGTTGCGTCTCTGTTGGTTGTTTGCATAGTTCAGGTTTAGCAATAAAACTTATTAAGTTTGAAGACGCGTGGTAGTTTAAACTCGAATCTGGGTGTAAACATTTCGTTTCGTACCGAGGATCAGTCGTTTAAAGCAATGCCGAACGGTTTAAGTACCGAACATAAAACACATTGTTAGCTACACGTGAATCCAGCGGACGTTCGGAAAGACAGATCGAGTACAAATCTTTATAAGTAATAAAGGAAAAAGCGATAAATGAGATGTATCTAATTATGGTGTCAATACGCTAGTTACTACTTACAGAAAAAGTTACGTTTACCAAGTAAATAAATAAAAACACATTTGCAGAACTACGCTTTTTTCAATAACTAGAGGGACATCAGGTTTTGCATATATTTATCACACATTTAACACGAATTCGTACAGTGTAAAATTCATAAAACAGAACTATTATCATTAAAGAGCTTTCATTGGCCGTGAAAGTAGTTTCTAGATTAAGGGAAGTCCGGGCCGCTAAATGGTCAGATTTGTTACCCTAATTGTCATTCTTTATTTTAAATTAAAAGCATATCCTACCTTATACATATCGCAATTCATACGTGTCACAATAAACAACAGAAAAAATTAATATGTAGTGTTTTTTTTTTACCTAAAACTTGCTAGCCATCGATAGCTGAAAATGTAGTGAAAAGACAATATGTATTGTGAAATGTTTATCCCCTAATGCAGGCACTGATAAAAGTGGTGTAGCTAGACCACCAGGAAACAAACTTATATACCACATAACCCTATTAATTAACTTTGCATTACATATACGAGCTACTTAAGCACGGATAAAGTATATGGGCAAAGCGAAGAAAGACAGGACTTATGTTAGGAGAGAATTTGTCTAAGTTCAATGGAAAATGCAATAGAAAAATAATACAGGGACAAGATAAGAATATTGAGATAAAATATTAAAAAAATCATATGAACATATACTAAAATGAACGCTATGTTAAATAAAGTCATGCAATAAAATGCTTCTTTCGCAACCCTTTGCCTATTTTTTTTTGTATTTAAAATACCTAGGATGTCGAATATAGGTTTTGTGTTGATCACACACTAATGATAAATTCGACCCGACATTCAAAGGCTCTGTTATCTCTTTGTCTCGTCGAACGACTGTGATATTACATATACCTGTTGTTGTAATTGTTTTTCAACTATTTTATACATTTCCTGTCAATATTTTTTTTACATATCATTTTTTGGTGTAACTTATCGACTTATTTTAATGTACTAATTATTCTACTATTATAGGTTATTTATGTAATAAAACATATTGTTATTCCCAATATTATCGATCGGCATTTCCCTATTGTACTTTGTATTAATTTTTAATCACATTTACATTGGTTAGGACTGTTAAATATGGTCTCTTCTCGGTCTCGATTTTTAGAGAGGAGACATTCAGAACAGCTTATCTGTGTGACCAATACGTTCTTGAACAAAGCCTTAACTCTACACAGTTAAGTGTTACAAAGTATGTGATCATAGTCTATCAAAAAGGAATCCGGACTCTCTCTGGAATCTATATAGAAAAATTACCCCGTAGTTTTTATAGTTATATTTTGTATATCACAACAAACAATATGCGTCGCTTTCTCACGCCCTTATCATGTGCTTATCACCTACTTTTCAACATGTGTGCCTACTTTTTCCCACTCTTCTATGTACACATTGCCTAGCGTAGCATGTCAAGAGTTTTTCCTTAATATATTGTAAGTTCATGCAATCCGCTCGATTGCGGTCAATCCCAGTTTACTGTGTTTGTAATGTGTGCTTTTTTTTCTTCTAAAAACTCATCATTCAACCATAATTTATCCGCACTATACTTTAAGTCAAGCGTTCGGTAGTAAATAAAGTATTCTACGACATTTTTTTGTTCTTAGAAAAGTTCGTTGATTTTTAATTCGAGTATTCATTTATAGTACTAATGAAACATTTGTATGAGTGTATCGGTGAGTTTGCGAATAAACTTACCGTTATTATTAACTTTATTGTTGAAGTCCTGTGTTTAAGGCAAATTTAGTCTGTTATAAAGTCGTTATGATAAAGCCATGTGATAACATTTCAGGTAGGTGGCCTCGCTGAAGCTCTTGTTCAGCGTTATGACAATTTCGGCCTATGCAAGTGTCTCTTCTCATCATATATTTCGATGCATTCAAGGAAAAATCTTATCTTACTCAGAATTAAATTAGAATAACAAAACGAGTGTAGTACATAGTAATTGGTATATTCATAACAGAGGTGGGTACACTGAAAGAGGACACCGTACCTCACAACTCAAGTTTACATTTCTCTGTTGTTTGGAGCCCTGTACAAAATCTGCGTGTTCGATAAAAACACTGCTACATAACGTTAGCACCTCTTTTATGATCTCACCGATCAGTTACGAATGATAACCGTATATTAACCTCAGTATCATTATTTTTTCACATGACGGCTATACTTTTTAATATATATCCGATTGTGGTCAATCGAAGAGCAACAAAACCAAAAATTGCTTGATGGTTTTCTGGCGAGTGAATTTAGGACACACCTCGAAGCCGAATACTCAGACCGCCATATTCCAACCGGAGCTAAAAATATTATTTCAATAAACTATAAATCGTTATTAAAATCTATATTAGTTTGTTAGTCAGTTGAAGTATCTTAGTCTATATGACATTAGACATTTTTAATTAAAAATAATGCAATATTTTCTTCCGACTAGATACAGAACTGTTTCCGGTTTGAATGAATATTATTACATTTGGAAATGGTGCTGCTGTTACTTCTGCAATGGCTAACTATTTTGTTGTTGTTACCGCTGTTGTATTGTACTGGGGCGGAAACGTATTCCCTATGCTCGTACGTGCAAATCGGCAAGACGGTCACAGCTGGGAACGCCCACTTCTTTAGCTCGCGTAGCCCAAATACTGTTGCCGGTGTGCCGAGCTCTCCATAACATAGCGTCTCGATTTTGACGTTCTCTAAAACAACTATGCCGAAGGTTTATGATGAATTCAGCTTCAATTTGCTCCTCCAACCTCAATATAGAGTTGCGATTGAAGTCACGACTGAAACCATCTTGGACGAAATACGGAACCTTAAACTTCATCGTTACCCGCTCGTGCGGATATTTGCTGTAATTGGAAATTATCGGTTGAGAATTAATTTATGAGGATTCTTCATTTCTATGAAAATAAATCTCATAAGATAATTTCCGCAATATTCAAAAAAGGACTAATGCACAGCCTAAGCGTATATTGCTTTTATCGTAGCATTCCTTATTTACAATCCATCGCCACATTATCTAATGTCGAGACTCTTAAACTCGCTTGAGGTACATGCCGCATTCTAAGACCTCAGTCATCTAAGCACTAACGCTGACAGTTCCGCATACCTGCTTTGTATAAGAGAGTAGGGAGGGTCTTGAGCAAGAAAAGATGACAACAGAGACATCCCGAGAAGAACGAGAATTGGAAGCGTCTGAAAAAAAGTAAGAAAACAGCCGCTCAAGTTATTCAGGACAAAAACTGTCTTGTTGGAATCCTTTTCAGAGGATTTATGAAACGTGAACGAAGTGGTATAACGAGAAGTCGATATTAGTAAAAATAAAGTACACTCAAGGGAAATTTAAGAGCATGTGGGTTGCATCCCAGCTGTTTCATTTTCGAATCAGCATATTTAATTTCATAAAATTCCGTATAAAATTAATAGTCGAAAATGTCATTTGTGGTGTATAAGACCATGTAAGTTTTTGCTACCTAGATACAATACATCAATGATGTGGACTTAAAGCGCGTGATACATTTTTTTATATTATTATGCCTACTCAATCACCTGTAGGATAAGTGAGGTTTGTCCTGTTTCTGATCCTTGTTGTTGCTGATGGTGGTGGTGGAAGTTTTGTCTGTGATGATAGGCTTGACGCCTTCTCCGGTTGACACCTTCGAACGCAAAGGATCCTCCACCTCCATTAAATGGACCAAAATTATTCAAAAGGTTGCTAACATTAGAGTATGCCCTAATAGTTTATCGTCAATTCGGAGGGCAATGTGATATGTTCGGCACTACGACAGTATCGATGTATATGGGAGAAAATCGCAGGAATATCCTCATTATTTAATTGATAGTTACGAATTACATCTGTGAACGCACATAGTAGACGCTGACGCATCTAGTAGGGTGTCCACGTGATGACGTATAATTACATGGTATGTTCAATATACCAATATTTCAATTAAAGCATCTTACAATTCAACTAAATTGATACATAAGTAACGCCCGTTTGGTTTATTGTTTTTATACCTTTATTTTTTTACATCTCCGCTGTTTGTTAGCCGGTTACTTTCCATGCGACTAGTTGGGGAACTAAAGGGACGACTTCCATTTTTTTAGCATAGATAGAATAAGTCTCTTGTTACCTTGAACCTTGAGTACGACATAGTATATGTCTAAGAATAAGGCAAATGACATATATTACACGGCAAGTGTAATTTTTACACATAAATACCGCGTTTTGAATGTGCACTTTTTTACCTATACAATATGTACCTATCCTATATATCATTTGAATTTGCTGTATATACGCTGCACGGGTAGATCCGTAGAAATTTCACTTTGCAGTGCATGAAATTTTACGACGAGCTCAGGCTTTAAAGATTGAACTCTGTAACCTAGCTAAAAACTCGATTGACAAGGTAAATCTATACTTCACTACAACGCCAGGTCGTACATATCAAACATTGTGAAAGCTCCCTGAAAGAGCACGGGTTTTTTTGCAGTCAACATAACCGTTTGGCCTCGCGCCTTCAGATTACCATTTTTCCAATCACTGGCTAATGACATTAGCAATTGTATATTTGACAGTGAAAAGCGTCGTTTGGGTAGACGAGGTTTTCAACACTATTTAAAAGAATTTCTGGCAAAAGGGGAATAAAGAAACAGGTTGAAACAGAATGCATGAAAATTAACTTGTTGCGCTCCATCTAAGGTGCAACTTTTTGGAGAGTCACGCGTCTTGTCAGATATGCACTAATATATCTGACATACATTTGATTGTTACTTTTACTATTTAAAAACTTGCCCTAACTACAATGTAAAAGCACAGGCATGACACAAATACGACTTAATTTTAAAGGTCGAAGAGCACATTGTCCAGGCGCTAAACGACCCCCCAACCGGGATAATCAATCAGTCGCTGTTTCAAAACCGGGATAATCAAAATCGCTGTTTGCTCCGCCCCAACTCACTATGCGGTTGCTGACAAATTGGAAGTTATGCAACAAAAAGGAAGGAAAACAAAATATCCTTTTTTCGTCACATTTAATTACAAAGATAAAAACTTTGCAAGCCCCAAGGGGCTTAACTGCACGCGGCCGAAACTGTAATTATCCGGGTTGTTCTCAAAGAACATACATCGTATGTCACCAAAATCAGACAAAATTAGGCCGATAAAACCAAGATACTTGCTTTGTGTTTGCTCTTGAATTCTTTTTTGAATAGAACAACAGATTGTCTTTAACCTTTCATCAGTGAACTAATATTTATCGTAGACAAAAAAATCAATGGTGGATCAACCAAAATTGACAACAATTGACTCACGCACGATTTTACCGTAATGACGAATTAAGGAGACATCAAGCCGCCATAATCTACCCCCAAAATGGGTAAGTGAAAAAGTGTCTTACAAAGCTGTCTATGAATACGCTATTGAATGATAGACCATAGGGATTCTGGCAAAATAGTGAACCTACTCATACAAGCAAAATCAACAGGACGTGCTGGTTGAGTAGACAAGCATGCTATGGACCACAGTCTTGTGACTGTCTTACAGTATGAATTTTAATTTTTGGGTTTCTTATGTAGATCCCACGAATCTAACAAACGTTGACATGCTAAAGTTAGTGTGTTTCTTTGCAGCTGTGAAAAAGATGTTCAGAGGAAA